GATAAAGAGCCAATTAATTAAAGTGATTAATTGAAGTAATTAAAGTGATTGAAGTGATTAATTAAAGTGATTGAAGTGATTAATTAAAGTGATTAACAATTATAACTGAAAACTCTGTCGTGGGGCCGCATTGGACTGGTCTTCAGAGGCCCCCGCAAATTTGAAAAAAAAAGATTGGTGCACAAATTTGGTGGTGCACAGCTGCGTACCCCTTTCCTGTACCGTTGATATTCAACAATTCAACACAATGATGTAATACAGATGAAAATCATGAAATTGATCTTCTTGCTTAGGTTATCCAAAATCTTGTACGCAACTTTTCCTTGAGAAATTGTGTCTCTGTGTGACAATAATTTAGATGACATTCCTTTATCATTTCTTGTACCATCTCGTGTCTTCCGGGCATCAGGATAAGATAATGAAATTCTTCTTTGTTGTCGATGTCTGTGTCCTGACTCTTATTATACCATCAGCATCAGCCATCAGGACCTTTCAAAATGGGAAGTCTCTTGGTGGAGTTCTTGTCTAAGCCATCCTCTTGTCATTTACGGTGCACCACTCCTCACAAGAGCTGAAGAGCTGCATAATCTGATCCAATAATAATATCAATATTGCTCCATTTCACATAATTGGTTGACAGATCAGAGATCACTAATGCGCATTCCATGTTTCCCAAGCCTTTCTGCTAACAGGCCTGCTGACACATGAGGAATGCCTCCTCCCGACGTATTCTTCTCTCGTAGAGTTATTTACATCTTTCCCTCTGTCCATTCCTGTGATATATATAGGTACATTATGATGGAAGGTCTTCTAAATGGAGTAACACTGCCCTCGTGCCATGCCATAGTGCCATCTGCAATACCGCAGGCACGTCTCTATATAGTTCCTCTCCCACAGGCCGACTCTTTAATTCCTTCACTAAGGATGAGGTGAAGGAATTAAGATTTAGGTGGAGCTCTACACCTCCCAGTCACCTCGTGTCAGACATTGAATACGTACAATTTTGAAGTAGATCAGGGAATCAAAAATTAATAGATAGATATTGACTACTACAATTTTGAAGTAGATTTGGGAATCAAAAATTATATAGTACCAGTATGTAAATTCCACAAATAAAGTTTTGATGCTGACACTTGTCTGCCACTTTTTTCTAAGCAAAATTTTTTAATATGGCAAATATTTTTTTTACTACAGACCTTAGCAGAAGTAACTTTTTAAGATATTGTTTTTCACCATTTTTTTCAGGAATTTTTCAAAGCTAATATATGTTGTATTTTTGAACTTCCTTTATATTTCATAGATAGGAAAAATGTTGACGTTTACGCCACTATATTTAGTTTTGCAATATTCCAATTAGTTTTGCTACTAAAACAGTTTTACGCCGTGTCAGAGGACTGTTCCGAGTTACCTGCCCGTCCCGAGTAGCCCGGGTTGACAGTACTGTCAAACGGGGTAAAAAGGGACGGTTTTGGGAGTTTTTTGTTGATAACTTCTTACCATGAAACATTTCATAAACAAGTTTGGGCTCATTTTAAAGGTCTTTGCAAGGGCTATCGTATAGCATCTCCAAAAAAATTCCATATGCTATTTGTAAGGAACTAGACGCAATATAAAGGGTTCCTTAATTAATCTGGAAATGGGTAAAAAGGGACACTTGAAATAAAACTCAATTTTAAACATTTGAAGCATGCAGAGTGTACTCATCTATTACTAACAGTACTCTGAAGTCCTCCTCTTCCTTTGTAGATGATGTAAATGCTGATGCTTGGCCCTTGGCTTGCTTAATAAATGAAATTTTCTGTGATTTTTACATGGTTTTTCTTCATTAATATAATATTACCTTATTCATACATTACCATACCTATTATTAATGTGATATTACTGTATCCATGGACATGCCATTGAGCATTGACAACAACCTTGTCCACTGCAAGCTTCATATCAGCAGCCATATAGCATTTCTTCTCTATCTGTAAGTTTACAGGACGGCTTGTAATTTCACATAACTTTAATCAAGTTAAGTGATTTCACTATAACAAAAAAGATTGTAAAAAACTTACCTGAAACAGGAAGGAATATTTTAGTGACAACCATCATATTTTTTGGAGAAGTAAATCATAGTTTAGGTTAATTACTTTTCATTCTTTGTTGCCCAGTGCTCAATTCTATCTGTGACATTCTATGCACAAATTTGTGCATATTACTGATGCAGTACCGTAATTTAATGAAAAATTACTGATGCAGTAATTTTTCATTAATTTTTTTCACTGAGCGAGGTAAATGTAATCAAAATTCTTTGTTTTTAATTGATTTTTTCATTAACTGGAGCCTTTGCTAATCAAATTTCTACTGTAAATGCAATTTTAGGGGTGTCCCTTATTACCCCAGGTGGGTGTCCCTTATTACCCCGTTTTGCGGAAATGGCCACCATTTTTTCTTAGAATGATATATGCAAATTCTGTCAATCACGTTGTTCCCGTGTATGCCGCGGGGGGATTAACTCGTAACCCACTTAAGTGAAGCTGAATTGGTCTAATACGGTGTAAGTAAAGAGTTGCCAGAAGTGTTCTGTTTTATTATGGGATTTTAAAATACAACTGACATGCCGATGAATGTACAAAGAGAATATTGCATATAGTGCTTTAGGTCTATGGGACTATGTGTTTGGTAACTAGTGATTGGAATAGGGAGCACAGGACGGGCAATGGCGCACAAGGTCCTCAGACAGCTGAAAGATATAAAAATTACAAATGAAAGATACACCCTTTTTACCCCGCCCGTCCCTTTTTACCCCGCCCGTCCCTTTTTACCCCGTTTGACGGTACTCTGTATTGATAAATGTAACAACCAACTGAAATGGTGTGGCCTAATGGCTATGATTCATCTCTTGCTTTGGAGCTTTCTAATGAAATGCAGTCTGCAAAAAATTGTCTACATGTATTACAAGATTGGCATAACATGGGGCAACTTTAGTAATGAACATTGTTGGGTCATCTGCTCATCCTTTGAAAATTAATATTTTTTTATGTGGATTATTCATCTCTTGCTTTGGAGCTTTCTAATGAAATGCAGTCAAAATTCCAGGTGTTTGAAAAAATAAGTGATCTAAATGACATCTGCTCATCCTTCGAAAATTAATATTTTTTTGTGGGAAAATTCCAGGTGTTTGAAAATATAAGTGATATAATGACCCTGTGACAGGCATAATGAAGCTCACATTCACATCCTTTGACATCAGAACAACAGTGGCTGAATTGCAGAAGAGGTGAGTTTGGAATTAATACAGATTTTTTCATGCAGACCAATTCTTAAACACTTGCAATTGATATTAAAGACAAATGAGTTCAAATTAGATATGAAAAAATTGATAGCAAATATTAAACACTTGCAATTGATGTTAAAGACAAATGAGTTCAAATTGGACATGAAAAAATCAATAGCAAATATTTTTTGAGCCTCAGTGTGAGTGGTGTTTTATTTATTTTTTTATCTTTTGATGCTTGTTGGCAAATATATAAATTCTGGTAAATCCATGTGGCTGTTGCCAGCATGGCAGTGATTCTGCCTGAGAATACTAGCTCATTCTGAAGCAACATTCAAAAATTTTGCATCCATTCCAATCTAATAATTTTTCTGTTTTGAAATATCTTGATGGATAGCTACGTATATCTATATATTAATTACTATAATATAGCAGAATAAGCTTATTTAAACACGAGTGGTTAATGACCAGAGAAATCATTGATTTAAATTTTCAGGATCAAACAATATTCTTCAGTGGACGTTGGTTGATAAAAATTCAGGTTCAAAAAGTAAATTAATTTATTAATGACGTTTCGAATGTGACATCATTCATTTTCAAGTTACAGGAAGCATTGAATACTGAAATTTAAATCAATGATTTCTCTGGTCATTAACCACTCGTGTCTATATATTAATATAGACTTTCTCCTAAGCTAGTTGTGCTAGGATTTGCATATTGTATTGTAATACAAAATTAAAAATTTATTCCTATGAAAAATGAAAAAAAACAGTTGATGAAAAACAAATGCCTATTTAATTGCTGGCTGTTTTAATTATGTTTGGACATTTGTGCAGTATTGTGGGTCTGAGAGTAAACCAAATCTATGATATTGATCACAAGACGTACCTGCTGAAGCTGCACAAGCCTGAGCACAAAGATGTGCTCCTCATTGAGTCGGCCTCTCGCCTGCACACAACCTCGTACGAGTGGCCCAAGAGTCCAGCCCCCTCTGGTTTCTCCATGAAAGTGAGTCTTAAAGTGCAACCATTCATTTGGATATGAATTTTAATGGCCTGTAAACATTGGACCAACAATTTGGAAGAAGCTTACATACTCCTTATTTATTGAGAGAATGAGAATGGGTAATAATATGCAGTGTAATTGTCCTTCTATAAGATGAAAAAAAGATGAAGTTAATGGATATTAAGCTTCATTGGATTCTTCATCAAAGTTTTTTCATGAGAAACATTTTGCTAGTGATGAAATTTATGGTTAAATGTTAAATTAAAGAATAAATTAAAGAGATAGTATGTTTGACAATTGGATATAGATCAGAGGTGGAGCAAGATGAGCTGCATGTACGGGGCAACAATTGTGTATTTGTCATAAGCTCATGTGGGGTTGTTGTCATCCAACCATTAGTATGAAATAGAAATATGGACACACAGACCATTTGGTGAGACATGCAGACCATTTGGTGAGACATACAGACCATTTGGTGAGACATGCAGACCATGTGGTGAGACATGCAGACCATTTGGTGAGACATGCAGACCATGTGGTGAGACATGCAGACCATGTGGTGAGACATGCAGACCATGTGGTGAGACATGCAGACCATTTAAGCCTGCTTATCAGTGCATCAGAGGTCCTTCTCTAAATTAATTAATTTGTTACCAATTAAAAATTTCGACAAAATGCACATTATCTTCCTTAAGAATTTTAAAGTTATATATTTAAATTTTCTGTCACCCCTCTTACACCCAATAAATCTTGTTTGCTCTTGAAGTGGAGGGATAATTTAGTTACTTGAACAATTACATTGAACAACTGAACATTGATGTTTCATTTTTATTACAACACTTCTATAAACTTCACTTCTTCTTGTTTGTTTGTCAACTACAAATCTTATAATCAATATTAACCACACTTCTACCTGTCCAATGGATCTGAAATTTTGCACACTTGCATAAAGTTGAAGACAATGCTTGAATCGATTGTCAGAATAAATAATTTGGATTTTTTTTCAATCTATAAAAAACATAGAAATAAATATTTTTACATTTGAAAAATGAAGTAGGAAATTCATTGTACATATGTAAAATTGGAGACACTGGCCTCTTTAGAAGTGATATTTTTAAAAAGTAATTTTGAAACGCATACTGTATTATGTTTGCTGTAGTTGCGGAAGTACCTGAATAATGGAACATTGATGTTCCATTTTAATCACAACACTTCTCTTTAACTTTACTACTCGTTTTTTGTTTGTCAACTATAAATCTTATAATCAATATTTAACACACTCCTACATTAAAAAATAATTTTGAAACATATTATTATTGCTGTAGTTGCGGAAGCACCTGCGCAACAAGCGCCTGGAGAGCGTACAGCAGCTGGGGGCGGACCGTGTGGTGCAGCTCACGTTTGGCAGCGGTCCAGCTCAACATCATCTCATCATTGAGCTTTATGATCGCGGCAACATCACTCTCACTGATGCAAACTACACCATACTCATCATACTGAGACCCAGGACTGATGCGGAGGAGACCAGGTGACAATATTTGTATTAAAAACTATATAAAATATGCTTTATGATCGCAGGTGACAATATTTATATTAAAAACTATATAAAATATGCCTGCAATTTGTTTTTGTTGGTGCAAGCAGAAATCCGAGAAGTTGAAGAGACTAAAATTTGTTCACGTCATGTATAATGAAATTAAGTTCTGTTTTGTTGTCATTCATTCATACAATATGAGCATAGAATTGTATGTATTGTTGAATATTTCCTGGATGGAAATTGTGTAGACTGAGAGATCTCTTCAAACAGTCTTGACTTTGTATGATTAGCTTAAATTCTGAACATTGGTGAAGATTCAAACAAAATCTAGTTGAACAATTTGAAAATGGAATTTTGTTGGTACCTATATTGCTTGTGAGTTTTTCTAAACTTTTTTTATCTTAATTTTTTTATCTTAAATAAGGAAAAATAGCAAATTTTATAATTAAAATGGCCATTTTTATAGGCCATTTTTATTGTGCTGAGAGCTGCAAAATATTATTTAAATGTCTTGTTGATTCTGTAAGTTGGAATGCACAATATTCTATTAAAAAATAGAATACATTTCAGGATAGTGTTCACCTTCTTATAAATGATGGTATGAGTATAAATTTGCTTCATTTATAAACAATTCTCATGATTAAGTTGAAATATAATTAAGCGAATTTAACTTGAATAATACCATATCTCTCACTTTAGTGTTTCAGTAGTGGAGGTTTTTTGTGTTCATCTTCTTATAATGAATCTATGACCAAAAATTTGCTTCATTTATTAACAATTCTCATGAATAAGTTAAACTATATAAAATAAGCCTGCAATTTGTTTTTGTTGATGCAAGCAGAAATCTGAGAAGTTGAAGAGACTAAAATTTGTCCACGTCATGGTAATAATGAAATTAAGTTCTGTTTTGTTGTCATTCATTCATACAATGTTAGTGTAGAATTGTAGGTATTGTTGAATATTTCCTGGATGAAAATAGTGTAGACTGAGAGATGTCTTCAAACAGTCTTGACTTTGTATCATTATCTTAAATTATGAACATTGGTGAAGACTCAAACAAAATCTAGTTGAACAATTTTAAAATGGAATTTTGTTGGTACCTATATTGCTTGTGAGTTTTTCTAAACGCTTAGGTGAATGCAATTTTTTTATCTTAAATAAGGAAAAATAGCAAATTTTATAATTAAAATGGTCATTTTTATAGGCATTCAATAAGATCTTTGTGCTGAGAGCTGCAAAATATTATTTAGATGTCTTGTTTATTCTGTAAGTTGGAATGCACGATATTGTTTAAAAAATAGAATAAATTTCAGGATAGTGTTCACCTTCTTATAAATGATGGAATGAGTATAAATTTGCTTCATTTATTAACAATTCTCATGAATAAGTTTAAATATTATTAAATGAATGAATTTTGAAACATACCGTATCTCTCACTGTTACTGTTACTGTTTCCTCACTGTTACTGTTTCATTAGTGTAGGAATTTTTTGTTCATGAAATGTAATCTTTGTAGCTACTTCAATCATGTACAAGCCTTAATTATATTACATATTACATACAGACTAGCAGCACACGAGGTGTACCCCCTGAACAACATGCGTGTTGTACGCGACCCTCCGTCCCTGGAGCAGATCGCTGCAGCCCTGCGGGGGGCTAAACCAGCCCTAAACGTCAAGAAAGTCCTCAACCCTTTGCTGGGTGAGATGCTAATGTCTTATTTCACTGTAACTTGCTTCTGAATAACTTCTTCTCTCACGTCTACAATCAAGAAAGTTCTCAACCATTTGCTGGGTAAGATGCTAATGTCTTATTTTACTATAAATTGCTTCTGGATAACTTCTTCTTTGACGTCTCTAATTTATCACCATCCGTTGTTGAATAATTGAGAAAGAGTTAATTTCAGCTTAAATTTCTTCTAGGGAACTGTATTGTGACAGTGTCGTGACATGAGGCTTGGGTGAGACTCAAGACAACCAGTTGTGCCAGTACTAGTTACTAGTACTGTGCCAGTACTAGTTACGACTCAAGACAACCAGTTGTGCCAGTACTAGTGACTAGTACTGTGCCAGTACTAGTTACGACTCAAGACAACCAGTTGTGCCAGTACTAGTTACGACAGTGTGGCGTAAGTTACGCCACAAGGAGAGTGTGGCGTATATGTTACGCCACAACGAGAGTGTGGCGTATATGTTACGCTACAACGAGAGTGTGGCGTATGTTACGCCACAACGAGAGTGTGGCGTATGTTACGCCACAACGAGAGTGTGGCGTATGTTACGCCACAACGAGAGTGTGGCGTATGTTACGCTACAACGAGAGTGTGGCGTATGTTACGCTACAACGGGAGTGTGGCGTAACATGCTATTCATGTTATGATTGGAGTTTACAGGTTGAAAATGTTAGTGAATTGCAATTTTTTGCGACATATTGTTTGTTATGAGTAAGCTGGCTTAAATATTCTCTAGAGCGTGAAAAATGTAATTAAATCATGAAGGATGTAGGCATGATGAGAGACTATTGTTCCTAAGTTGATTTAAAATCGGTTTCTCATTGCGAACTGCATGATTGCAATATAGTTGACTTTAAGACTTATTTCCAAATGGTTCTAGTTCATATTACACGTTTTCAGCTCCAAAGTGGGTAAGGTTTCAGGTTGTCCATAATTAGTTTATTGAGACAGACTTTGAATTAGGTATACTGGAGCACAGTAATGATTATGTTAATGTTTGTGCTGATGTTACAGACTGTGGGGGCGGTGTACTGGAGCACAGTAATGATTATNGTCAGAGCCCAGCAACACATGCTGGAGGCACCTCACGCGACGCAGGTCATTAAATATTTATATAAAATTTATTTACATTTACTGTGTTTTATTGTATTTTATTGTGTTTTATTGTATTTACTGTGTTTTATTGTATATTTAGGGTAGAGCCTTTCATTTAAATATGTTTGGTCTTTCTTTTGGACAAATTTTAAGACAATGACCCTATTACTGTACCTCTTATCAGAAAGCTTGAGAGATTGAATTCAAAAGAAGTCCTCAATAAAACTGGTATTATTTTTAACCAAACAGTGTTTATTGGTAAAGTCCGACTTACGGCGGTTATTCTTTGTACCGTAAACTGGGGTAACTTAGACCACTTTTTAGTTTGACGGTACTCTGTATTGATAAATGTAACAACCAACTGAAATGGTGTGGCCTAATGGCTATGATTCATCTCATACTTTGGAGCTTTCTAATGAAATGCAGTCTGCAAAAAATTGTCAACATGTATTACAAGATTGGCATAACATGGGGCAACTTTAGTAATGAAAATTGTTGGGTCATCTGCTCATCCTTTGAAAATTAATATTTTTTTGTGGGAAAATTCCAGGTGTTTGAAAAAATAAGTGATCTAAATGACATCTGCTCATCCTTTGAAAATTAATATTTTTTGTGGGAAAATTCCAGGTGTTTGAAAATATAAGTGATATAATGACCCTGTGACAGGCATAATGAAGCTCACATTCACATCCTTTGACATC